AAAAAGTTATTCACATTTAAAAACTGCACAGTTATAAGTTTTGTTAAGTGTAATGTCTCAAGTGAATATTAGACGTTAATATAATAAAATGTTACAGAACAGAATACTATGTTGTTATTTTAAATACTGGTTTAAACGTTTAGAAATGTTTATACATAAGTCATTTGCTCCTAAAAATTAAATTCTGTAATAAGGTATATTAAAACATTCTGGAAACAAAATGATCACTCGGAAGCATTAATAACAACAAAATAACATAAGAATTGCAGACTCGGTTTGATTGATAATGAATAAGTGCAACATTCCTCACGCCCCTAGCACCGGCTTGAGCGGTACTCAATTCTCAACACTTAATAGTGTTGGCATCAATGATCCCGAAGGACCAGAAAATATAACAACACTGATGTGAAGTACGGGGCAACCTTTTTAAGGCTGCCACACGGCACTTGACACCTGCTGTTGTGAAGTACAAAATTCTGGAAATAAAATGATCCCTCGGAAGCATTAATAACAACAAAATAAAATAAGAATTGCAGACTCGGTTTGATTGAGTCTGTACATGAAAATGTCATTCTTTTTTTTAAATGAAACAAACATTTTGTAAGGCAACAGTTAAATACATTTTAACTTGTTATCCGTAACTAGACAAATAAAGTGTTATCCCGTCTAATCGCTTTGATTATAATCACTAGAAATGTATTTCAGGCGATTATTGTATTATAATATTTCATCTTGATCTTTTATCTAGTTTATTACCAATACCCAATGAATATTTCTTCATTTACCCAATCATAAAATACAAAAAAAAATATTGTATGTCTTTAATATACAATATAAACCATAATGATTGCCCAATATAGTTATTGTCAAAAAGTGAAATATATAATCTTACTTGATAATTAAAATATAATGCAAGCAAATACTGATATCACCATAAACTAACCTGCAGCTTGGGTAATTGTACTAAAATATATATGAAATGTCCACACAACTATTATAAAAGTATTCAACATATCTTCTTACAAACTTTAGCTTTAATAAAGTGATGAAATTTGTATGTCTATCTTCCTCAACTTCTCCACAACACTTGTTTATTAATCTTTTTCAAAATTGTGTAAGTAGATCTAAGTAGATTATAACATTGAATAAGATTTTCACCTTTTTTGGAAAAATAGAAAAAAAATGTATATTTTATTGCATTGCAAATTTATTTATTATTCTATTCATCGACATATTTATTGAAATATTTGAATGCAACATGCACTTCACTAGTTATGGATGTGCATATTAAGTGCATACGTCAATATCCTATGGAATGAATTGATAAATAGATACACGATAAGCAAGAAGACTTGTTTGATGATTCTATAGACAATTTAATGACTGCTCTCAATTAGAAGATTAACCTTAAACACAATCTTAGTAACACTTGATTGACGCAAATGTATCAAGATAAAATGTATGGTTATCTCGCTCAAATCTGAAATTGACTTATCCATCTGTCAACCTGTTGTAACTAGAGACTAACCATGTGTTTTTAAACAGTTCAACAGTTAAAGATTTCAAAGAACTAGAGCAATATAAAGAAAATAATTTTACGGGGAAAATACGATACTGAAAATATACTAAGAAAATGACAACTTTACACCAGACCTTTAAATTGTGCATGTATGAAATAATACAATATGGCTAGTGCATGATTAGCTCATAGTTTGCAATAATGAATGTAGCTTCTATACTTATGACAAGTTTAAAGTAAACCCGTTTCCAGAATTATAGGTTTCATACTAAAACAACAGCAACACACAATTTTTTTCCACATTTGCACATATATATTTCCTTTCTTTATGAACTACTTACAAACATGTAATATACTTTACTGATGAATTGTCATTCATATTGCATCGTCTAGTGTACATAATTTGTCAGTTTGTTTCACACTGTCTATGATTTAAAATATACATGTAACAGACTCAAAAATATTCATACTCAAAATAATATATAAATGTCAAGTGTTAAAGTATATAATTGTCATTTTATAAAGAAAGTATGATTAAATGCTGTTTTTTGTTGTTGTTTTGTTGTTGTTTTTTTAAATGTATGTTTCATATCTCATACTTTGTGCACAACTTGAATCATTTTTAAAGAAAACAAAATAGACTACCAGAGTTATTGTCTTTTGACATTATATTGATCGGGAGACATTTTAAATTTCATTGATCTTTTCCAAGTTTAGCTCGTTGACTTTCAGTAAAATATCTTTATTTCAGATAGTTATTGAAGCAATCATTAAAAATTTCAGTACCAGTGAAAGGAACATTAAGTTCAGAGAACATGACATTTAATTTCTATCATTTAAATATAAGACATCTTCATCAGCTTGATAAAATACAGACTCATGATCATTTACATTGAAAATCATCTGTGGTTAGCTTACATTTATCATTTTCAAAAACAGTGGCTTTTAACATTTTCCAATATAACCTAGCATTACAAAGCCTTGCATTTTCTAATCTTTGTGTTTGTTCCTTATTATAAATAAATTTCTTTTTCCTAATCGTATTGTTATAATTACTACGACCTTGTACAATTGACCTGAGGCCAATTTTAGCCTCTCACAGGTACATATTAGTAATCTTCATACCGACCACCTTCAAACGCCCAATATCCCCCGATGTATCTTTCTTATAGGGTTTGGGGGGGGGGGGGTCGCCGAAAGTAACGGGTAAAAAGACTTTGTTTAGGTCAAACTTGTGAAGAATGAATTCTTTTATTTCACAGACAGCCCATGCACGAATTGTTACTCAAATTGCTATAAGAATTACTAAGTGCTAAAACGTCTACATGTTAGCATCACTACTATTATGTTTGATTTGCATGAGATCATTTTAATTAATTAAACACGTTTTTAATTTAACCGCTTTGTATAATGATTTACATGCATTTGCTGAATCCTCTTTAAGATAAGTATATTACATTTGAATTTGCGATAAAAATAGGGGGGGGGGGATAACACATAAGCTGCGAAAAAATTTAATGCTCAGACTTATTGACAAGAATTATATAATTAAATAAAACATAAATAAACACACCTACTGAGGATTCGAATATGCACAGCTATTATTACATGAAATACCAGTTTGGTAGGTCATTTAGAGTTATGAATTCGGAGAGAACACATTTCTTGGCCCTGAATTTCTGCAATGGCAGTCGATCGACAGTGGAGGAATATATAATCAATTTATGCTAAGCAACTCATGATTTAATAGTATGATTTTTTTTTCAGCAATGATTTGATTATCGTTGTGCATAGGTGTCTTATATCTCACCGATGTACCACTGACCAATCAATGTACCTCTATTTAGTACAATGAGGTCGGTCCGTATATCCAAACTGATGCATTCACAGCAATATTTCGGGCTTGAAACCTTTCCCCAGCTCTATATCATAGCGATTGCCATGTCAAAATAGCTGATGTAAAACACTTGGAATATCGGTGTATAAGGACAATAAATGTCTGTGACCCCACTAAAAGAACAGAAACACACGCGGTGCATGCTTTACGTGGCCCGTGGTAAGGCCTTCCCGATGAAACTTTCGTCTTATACTTCGGTTTGGCCAGTCCAAGCTCACTGCATGATTACGAACGCTGATGCCGTACTAGTCTAGTTAAAACAAGGGCACGTCAACTCAGGATTATGCCTACAAATTGCACGTTTCCACAGGACATAGAGCAAATTCGACAATGTAGTCTGTGTAGAACGATGTAGGACCATAATGAAATACGTAGGACAAACGTTCGTTCACGCAAGACGTAATAATACCCCTGTCACACCAAGCCAGTACGTACTAAAATATGTAGTCTCAATTTTTCGTTTTGGTTTTTTTAGGGATTTCGTGTTTCTTTAAAAAAAAGTCAAACAGTGCGGAAACGGAATGATCGTAGTTGCTCCACAACTGTGGGCCAACTCAAAAGTTGTTGGTGCCTTCCGACGGACAGCTAACGTACTGAAAACGAGACGAAAGATTTTTTAACTGAATTGCCGTAATTCGATCATGCTAGAGACTCGCAATTACGTGTTGAGGTCGCACGAAGATAGGCAATATGTGTTAACACCAATCTGTCCGTTATTTGCTTCTCCATCCCTTTCGCCACAGACAGACGTAACGCCAATGCCACACGTTCTTAATACGTCGTTTTTCAGTCTTAATACAATAAACATTATGATTTCTGCTCATGTTTGCAACACGTTTCTATCCAATTTTTAATGCGCTCTTAAGCAGTAATTCGGTCTCAGTACAAATCAAATAGAAGTGAAAATTGGCTGTTTTTACTGGTTCGCCTTAGATAATCTAGCAGCTGTTAACATGCTAATAAGTTAACATGCTAATAAAATGATTTATTCATTTTTTTTGTTTGAAGCAGAACAAGGTCATAATGAGATAATTGAGCAAAAGATCAAACAAACAAAAAACAACAATAATCTGACCGCACTAGGGTCGTGATGAGACGTGGTCAAAACGTTTTAAACTGGTCGTGTTGCGAACTTTTATCGTGCGGTTGTTAACGTAGAAACTACTAACACAACGGATTTAAACTGACTGTAGACGGGATTTAATTAATATATCGTAAACGATGTTAAAGGGTAATTTAACCAGAATTAAACGGGCTATAGAAGGAATAAAGACGTAATGGTCGTGTCACTAAGGGTTTATGAACTATTTTGGATTGCACAGTAGATTATTTCCGTTTTATCAGACAGGTTGAAACTTTTAGGAACTAGTTCGGTGTGACAGCAGCATCAAGTCATTTTTGACTTGGTAAAACCCATTTATATGATTTATCCTGTGTGAATGTTAACTAAGGACACTATCAAGATTTTTGCCGGACGTCAATCGTAAACATACAGTGTGGCCAAGGCTTGAAGTTTAAATCGATATACAAAATCAATATACATGATATATTTGCTAGGGTTTTTACGTTGTTTGAAAGTACTACCTGTATTATTTATTGAATGTCATAAAATATTGGAATTCTTTGAGGTTTCAGTTTAACCGATCGTGACACCGGCTATAAATCGATCGAGATATAGGCAAATATTTCAAAATATCATAAGGTTTAAACTTTGTCACTATATTCAAGAGAGCTTACTTTTTATTAAGTGTTGAAAGATCATTTGGTACCTTTTATTCGGAAAACAGGAAAATGGTTTGTTGTTATTTGTTTTCTTTTTACTTCTAGTAATTAATTAATTTAGTATTAGAACAACTTTAAACATATCAGTACATTTAAAACTTAGTTTAAGGGTAATAAAAAGTCATCTTATTGACTGTAGTCACGGTTTTTGTTCAGGTTGGCAAACAATAATTTAAATCTGGCAAAAACAAATTTTAATTTTGTTTTTGTTTAATTCATTTAATACGTTATTATATATTATATATATATATATATATATATATATATATATATATATATATATATCAGTGTAAAGAGATAAATTAAACGTTTTAAATTTCATTCTGTCGGTGAAAGGAGAGATTTAAGCATTTAATCATTCAAGCGCCTTGTCCGGTATTAACCAGAATACGGTATTTAGAGTGATGCTCCATTTTTTTTCTTTTAGCAATCGGAACGTCTTCGGCTATTATCTATAATAGATGGTCCTTATCCGAATGGCCAAAAAGTTGCGATTCTCATGCAAAATGGCGGGTTTGTAATACTATGTCGTGGCCACGAGTGACTAAGTCGTTGGAACGAGATAGCTAAGACGTGGCCACGAGATGATTTACCGATCAGAATACACTATATATATTATGAATTTTTTAAACTTAACATCTTAACAAGTGATATGAAACAAAACCATTACTAAGACAGAAAGGCAATATTCGCCCCGGAGTTTAGTTTTGTGAAACAGATATGCATATGGTTCGGGAATATTTATGGACGAATATGTATAATAAATGTATTACCAGGAACATAATTATAAAATCAACTTATATTTCATTATAACACTATTTAGGTCATGTTACTGTCGACCACCGTTGAGCATGAACTAAGCTTGCTTGTTGTGTTTGTTTCTTTACTCAATATTAAATTGTTGAACCTATAATATAACTTGGTTAAATGGTGGATTTGATAAATTAAATAATCTCCTCTAATTTCAATGCCTGTCATATACATACATGTACCGTACATACCATATTCTCTTGAATTACATGCTCAAGTGTATAATAGTCACACAAGATGTACTAATTTGATTATTTTCATATTCTGCTTTAACACTTACAATCATTTTTGTTTAGTCAGTCTCAATTTTTGACATCTATTTCATGCTAATATCAATATGTTTCTACATTTGTTTTCCTTCTTAGGCAAAATATAGCTTACTTTAATGACAGATAGTGATTATTATATAACAAAACTTTAATATAAGCCTTTGATGAATATTTAAAATTGATAGATACCTTTGAATATCTGATACATAGCACTGGCTCACAAAAACATTACGTTCAAAATCATATTGAATGGGAAATAGCAGGTATTGTTCTACAAAAGATTGTTCTAAAATACTTTTGAAGCCTACTTCATACAGCCAACTTCATATATATTAAATGTAAAATCTTGAACGCCTGGACTGTCTTCATGTATTTGACAGATATACCTGGTTAAATGTCATTATGTTGAGTCTGAGATACAATATGCTAGTTGGAAATCCTAATATGTTGGGTGAAAATCCAATTGTTAGCACAGTTATTGAAGTGTTGTGTTGTGTGCTGATTACATGTTTTTCAGCCAAGTCAATGTATTGTCGGCGCATAAGTCGTAATGTTCAGTTCTATAAACGAACAGGCATGTGGTAACAAAATAATGTTAACTGAAAAAGATATAATGTGAGGTGTTTTTGTTATAATGTTCGGTTACAATAATACTGTTTGGTGCTCTTCTCATTATGTTCAGCCATGAAAACAAACAGTTGAGTGGAACTATCATTTTGTTTGGCTGAGACAGTGTGTTATCGGTTGATACTTTCATTATTTCCAGTTGCAATGACATGCTGTTGGGTGCTTTATTCAGTCTGTTCAGTCGTGCAATAGAACTGTCAAATGGCACTATCATTATATTGTGTGCTAATTATATCTTCTTTAGTTTAGTCAATGTGTTGTTCGGTGTAAAGGTCGATATGGTCAGTAATTAAACAGAACTGTTTCGTGGTACTATCATTATGCTCAGATTATATACTGTTCGGTGCACAGATCCTTATGTTCAGTAGTGAACACAAACTGGTTGTCTGATACCGTCATTATGTTAAGTTCAGATGATATACTGTACGGTTAAATGTCATTATGTTCAGTTAAAATGATATGCTGTTGGGTACAACTGACATTATGTTCAGTCATGTAAATGAACTACTATTAGTTAGTGTTGACATAACAGTGTTCAGATGTAATAATATGTCGTTATGTCGTGCTATTTTATGTTCAGGTAGAGTTATATGCTCTTGGGTGGTTAAGCTATCGTGTTCACTCGTAAAAATGAACTGCTTAATGATATCATCATTTTAATCAGCTGCGATAGTTTGTTGTCTGGCAGTAATGTTATTATGCTTGGTAAATAAAACATGATGTTCTCTGGTGAAATTGTTACGCTTAGTCTACTTAATGCTATTGGTGCATTTGACAATGTGCTGAGTGGTCATACAATTATGTTGGGTTCATTCAGATATCTTTGGGTCAAACATCTAACTGCAAACAAGATGGCGGGGAACGGAACGCACGCCTGTCACGAGCCCTTGCAGAAATTAGGCATTATGCGTTAACAATTAAATTTGTACATTGATAAATCACAGATAATATCAGTAGCTATTTTTTCACTTTGAGATACGACAAAAATGTCTATGTAGCCCAAGATTAGTCAAAATTTTATCCATCAAAACCATTAGAGAACCCGACTTGTTCCGAATACAATATTCACAAGGTGAACACATTCCACAGATGTATGTATGCACAACAAAATGAAAGATCAACCGACCACTGTCAAAAACAACTATTACATCATAATGACTAAGGATAAAAGTATCATTACATAAAGCTAATTATCTTAACAAAACACGTATAAGGACAACTAAACTCAACATGTCTTTTCCTAAACTGCACAAAATGACAGTGCCACAGAACAACATACTATATGAACTGAAAATAATGACGGTACTACCAAGTAGAATTCTATTTTAACTTCGGAAAATTATTTAAGAACCGAATATCATATCGTTCAACTGAACATAATTACATTGGTAGTACAGTATATCATCTGAACTTAAATCAGACAACAGTTTGTGTTCAACACTGAACATAATGACCTCTTAACCGAACAGTATATCATCTGAACTAAACATAATGAAAGCACCAAGAAACATTTCTTTTTCATAACTGACCATAACAGTTCTATTTCATGATAGAACAGAATGAATATAACACCCAACAGCATATCATTGCAACTGAAAATAATGAAAGTATCACCCAATAATACACTGCCTCAGCCAAACAAAATGATAGAACCACTCAACTGTTTATTGTCATGGTTGAACATAATGAGGAGAGCATCAAACAGCATATTATTATAACTGAACATAATAAATGTAACACCCTACAACATATATTTTCAACTCAACATAATTTTGTTACCTTATGCCTTTTTGTTTTAAGAACTGAACATAACGACTAATGCACCCGACATTACATAGACTTGGTTGAAAAAATTGTAATCAGCACACAATATAACACTTTAATAATTGAGTACATTGGGATTTCCACCCAACATATTGGGATTATCACACAGCATATTGTATCTCGGACTCAACAGAATGACATTTAAGCAGGTATATCAGTCATTCTACACATAATACAGTCCAGGCGTTCCATAATAAAAAAAGCTCAGCAATTCGTTTGGTTTCTGTGCCTAAACAGTTATTGTAAATGAATAAGCCTTTCTTTATTTTCCTTACAGAATACAACCCACGGACAAATGGACCTTGCCGGTATACTCTTGTGCCGCCTCATTCCCAAAATGAGCTCAGTGCACTTGTTGTTTCGGGTACGTCGATTATAAAATATCATTGAAATATATTATATTAAGTTGAAATAGGGAAATGCTTTTATAAGCTAGTATATCTATGGCGTTGTTATTATCTTTCACGCTTCAATTAATGTTGTATTTATAAACATCAATTGCTTACATTCATTGACAGAAATCGGTACTTTTTTACTACTTATTGTTGTTTTAAAGTATTTGTTTCCGATGAATTAAGGAAACATGAAAAATTGCCTTTAACATGATTTAATGTAATAAATATCATTATGGCTAAAGAGCAATAAAATTAATTAAAAAAATACATGTGTGAAAATGTATTTTTGTGACACTTTATGTAAAACATCATTCAACCAAAAACTTACCTTAAAACATTCGAGTATAGCCTATTCAAAATATCTTATATTTTAAAATAAAATGATAATTTAAATGCCAATTATAATTTTATATGAATGCATCTTTTTGGCTTTTATTTTCAACAGTTGTAAAAAAGATAAATGGTAAGAAATGTTGTCCAGAAATGATAACACAGAAATTTAAACATTAAAGGAACATTAATCATGTTGTTTTTGTCGGCAATGCCTTGATTATATTGAAAATGGGAGATGTTATATATGATTCTGATCATTCTAAAGTCTAGATTCTTGGCATTTTCAGATATAGTAACTGTAAAATACTCCTCTATGGTTATAATTCGATCTTTTATTGATAATTAGGTAAAATTTTATAACATTTGTAAGTAAGCATTATATTGAATGATGTTTATTTTATATTCATTTATGTATTCGTCATAAACAAACTGCATGGACCATTGGTAAATGTTTAATTGTAACCTTTTCTTTACAATGTTTTTTTAAATAGGTTCATTTAATAAAGTAATAGTTCTTTTAGAATTCAAGTATATATAAATATTAACATAATCACTTTTTTACATCTAAAATTTCTATGCAAGACATAAAATATATATTTAACAGAATACCTGTCCATGAAAAATAGCATAGTCAAGTTTTTTTTACTTTTTGACAGTACGTGTAGTTATACAAGTTCGTGATGTATGAAGTGAAAAAAATAATTCTTACAAAACCCTGAAGGGTATAATAGTTCTAAAATGGTGATATCTTCAAAGCATACAGACTGATTGAATATATTCATGTGGAATAATACAAAACACTTACCCTTATACTTCTAGAAATATTATCTATTCAACACTTGAAATAACATAAGTTCAAATTAAAATGACTTGTAATTGTTGCCAAGATATATTTTAAAGATTAATCTTTATCATTTATGGTCTTTACACATTTGTATTAATTCCAAAGATATTATTTGACAGTCCACTCTTTTTTACGTCATTGGTTTGAATTAAGTGTTTTAAGTATTAGTGTCTTATGACGTTATTTGTGTGGTTTACATGTTTTCAACACCTACATTTAAATAGACAAAACATTGCATATTTAAAGTGACATTATGCCTATCCAAGGGTATATATTGAGTGAACGGTTGATTATCAAAATAAATTTTCATTTTGCCATAATTCCTTTTAATTTAATAGTTAAATTCGCATTAACAATAAATAACTCAGAAACCCCAACGAAATTTCTGTAAAATCCATTAGAATTTACCTATAACGCTTAGTTTATAAAAAGAGTGGGGCAGTCTTATTAGATTTTAGGCATATTTATAATTTTATTCTAAACATTTTCCAATATCAACTGTTGGTCAAACACTATTTGTCAGTCAATCTTTTGAAGTATAAAGTCAATTCAGCTCCACTTGACTATGAAAATATGAGCATAATGTCACTTTAATAAAAAAAATTTGAATTGCATATAAAAAGTTATGATTTATTACCAATAACTTTGATGATGATGCCCAAAAAAACATTATCCTTCTGTATTTTCAGGACAAAGAAAAGACAAAGGTTGTTTACACTCTGTTATAGCACTAGGCAATAATCCTTGTATGTATATTAAGTTTTAACATTTTCTTTTCTTGTATTTTATTAATTTCATATATAGTAAATGTTTGTAATTAAATAGACTTTTATTTAGTTTTATTATTCTAATGCAAGTATTGAACATTTATTTATATCAGACAAAGTCAAGAAACATTTGATTTCAAAACAACCAGTATAAGACGTACATAAATCTTATGTAAAATGCCAAAAATCAAACTTTTTGAGAGATGTTTGAAATTAATTAAGTCTTTCTTAATACAATTATTTTAGCTGGTATCCCGTCAACTGGTGGATATTGCTGGTATGATGATATTGTGACCCTTCATCCACAAAATATCCTCAGTGAACTAGTCATTTCCGGTATGTTGATAACATAACAATGCTATTTATTTTACATATGAAATTCCTTTTTTTTTCAAAATTATTAGATGTAGAGTTTCTGGGGATGTAAGATAAAAGTCTTTTAGATGAGTTTCACGTTAAAAGACTGTTACTATGCTCTAACAAAGGATAAAAATGTTGTACCCTTCATAGAAAGTTTAGACTCAGTAAAGTTTTCTTTATATATTTTGAAAAGAAGTTGACAAATGAACATGTTATGTCATCAGTTCCAATACATTAATTATTTTCATTTTCTGTTATCAAGCAGTCCAAATTTCATTCTGTATTTCCTTAAAGCCATTGCCATCTTTGATTCTTTCTAATCTGCTCAATCTTTTTTCTTATTTTTCTATATTTTTCTCTGTAGTAAGCAAACTATTCTTTTTCTACCATTTACTTTTTATGATGATATTTAAGAATTGAAAAAAGTATTTAAAAGTTATAAAAAAAATGATTATGTCTCTTTATAGCAATTATATCTTTATATTTGTAGGTAACATTCACAATCCAGAAATTCAGCAGTTTGTCATGTATGGCGATAAGATAGTAAAGTTCACCAGAAGCCGAATGTAATGGTGTGGGGCCGTTCCAAGTTCATTTTTTTATTCATGGAACAGATCATTTAAAGATGTTTTTCATATTTAAAAGTGACATTTTAGTTTCCATCAATCTAAGTGTTCTGGTTCATTTTATTTTAATTTAAGATATGATTATAGAAAATAAGGTCATTGTTATAACTGATTTTCACCAGTATTGGATCAATAAATAGTAAAACATTCAGAAATTGTATGTTTGTATTTGGAAAGACATTTCATACAAAAAATATAAGTTAACAATATGAAGTTCATGTCGGTCATAAGGGGTTAGTTTGGGAGGGATTAAAAGGGTTGTTTGGGTATTAACTTGTAATATTCTGAATCACTTATGAGTATGTATGCCTACATAAGTCAAATATCGATGTGTATTTGCTTGTTTGATTGACAGCATTACTAACACAAAGATTTTAATATTGTTAACTGTTATCAATCTTTTAAATCGATATATTATGAATTCTTACACAGATACATGTATATTTTAAATATGATAGATTGACTGCCACTCATGTTAAAACCAAGCTTAAATTTAGAATTGATAAATGTTTAAATATGTTCCCAATTTATTTGAGAGCTGCGTATTCATTTCGCATGCCATACACTGTATAATATCGTAGTGTCATAGCCTACTTAATTGTATTAATTAAAGTTAAAAATAGATAGTGACATTATTTCCGATCCCCACCCCATGAAAGTAATACGGTAGCACGAAGTAGAATGTGTGAAAGTGATGTCCTAAAAACATTCAGATGAAGCAGCTGAAAAGTGTTATGCACTATATGTTATTTAGGCGGGAAACAGCTGTAATTAAAATTCACAAATAAATATACCACGGTTTGTACTAATTGTACACGCGCACATTATTTGAAATAAAAATGAATGATTGTCTGGATCAGTATGTATTACAAACAAAATAAACACAATTAAGTAAAAATCTTATACCTGTATGACAAGTAAAAGGGGAACAACTACTGCTGCCTTAAAGTGACATATATTTTTTTCGAGTTCTTTCCCTGTTTGAAAAATATGCATGCAAATACGGCTTGATACAAACAACAACAATTACAATCAAGAAAAATTACTCATTTTTATATTCAAAGAAATGCTTGTTTATACTTAATTCACACTAATATATTTACTTTATTATAAAAATGTAATATTTAATGATAACAATAGCACTCAACATATCTCCTTTTAAATTATCTCCTTATAATTCTAATTTGTCTTTCAAAATTTCGTAGTAAGTGAGAAGAAAAAGTAGAAAAAAATGATCATTACACTGTCGTGGCGCTTTTTCGACTCCGTAATTCAAACGATATTTCACAACCGTGCATGTAGAGAATTAACAAATTTTAACTGTGTTGAACGACTTTATTTATGATTTGATGATATGTACTTTAATACGGAGTGGATAGCAAATACAAATCTTATCATGATTAATTATTTATCTATTTAACCATAGTTTATAAATAGAGTTTATAAATAGAATACAATTATGCGTCATTTTATGTCAATTATATCCAAAGTCTGAGTTTTTGACATTCAGTTGTGTAGTGTTATATTCTCCAGCTTAATAAGCGGATGTTTCGTAATTTTTGTTTGGGGTTTATGTCCAATATACATTGTTAATACTACTTGGCGGTTTTCTTTACTGCTTAAGAAAGACCTCAGCTGCCTCTCCGTGCGTTGTCTCACAAACTAACGAGTAGCTGGGTAGAATCATCAGAGTTTTTTTTCAGTAAAGGCCTCAACAGACGGTAGGATTTAGCTGTACAGCACTAATTAGAGATAAGATGTACAATTTTCAAAGCTATACAACACTTGCATTCAGACGGTAATTCTATACTGTAAGAATCTTCTGAGGTTTCCCCTAAAAAGGATCCCTTTACATTGATCCTTTACATACTTTACTCACTTAATTAATACTTTTTTTCGCCATGAGTAATGATTGAAACACTTCCATTAAAAAAAAAAAATATATATTTTTTTTAATGTGAAGCCTGACCGAGACTCAAACCTGGGACCCTCGGAATACCGTACTGCGGCTCTACTGACTAAGCTATGTGGCCGCCTAGAAACTACCTCCCCTCCCCAAATTCATGTTATTAGAGAACAACTCAATACCGTGACATAATCATTTTCGGAATAATTTGGGAATCGAACACAACACAACTTTGGGTCTCCTGAAGAGTTTTTCAACATCATTTTTACCCCATCTTACTACTATGTTTGGTACCTTTTAGCCCTAATTGTTCTGGAATTTCATTCATTACATCCATTATCAGGAGATAATTTGCTTATCTGTTACTTGTCATTGTGGGAGGTCTGTAAAATTCGGTACGACAAGATTTTCAAAATAGAACATGTCCTATCCCTTACATCTCGACATAAGGTTTCCGAAATCAAGAAATAGTAGCCTTCACACATTAAGATTTGTCTGTACATCTTAGTTTTAATTGGTGTTGTACTTCAAAATCCTACCGTCTGTTGAGGCCTTAAGCTACCATTTTTACTGGTTTTAAGGTTTATTTTCTTGTTAATTTCATAACGCTATAAATCATGCTTGAATTTGTTTAAGTATTACATGCTTTTAAAGGGGGGGGGGGATTATAAACTTAAAAGAGAGAACGTCATATTGAAAAGTAGTAACTTGCATTTACTTTTATTTGTCGTATATTCTCCAACTAAGTGGTTTGTATGTTATTTTATTTATTTTTTGATGTAGAATATGCCCATACTTTAAGGCAATGTTAATGAAATGCTCGGTTTATGTATCAGCTTTCTAGCTTCTGATTTGAGAAAAGAAAGTCATGTACATATTTTGAGATTTTCTGGTCTTTTTGGTTTTATTTTCCTTATTTATTTACACCTGTAATGTTTACGTTTATAAAATAAGACCATTTAAAACCAAATAGACATTTTTATGTCAATACTTTAATTGATGGTTTAATTTGCATATCCCAAAAAAGTTTCAATACATAAAATAATCTTGTTTTTGGCTAGATAAGTACTGCGATTTAAAAATAAAAGGTGTATAACCGTTCACCAATTGAAGAGCGTCAGCCAATGAAATGTGTGCAGTCACAACAAGTTTATTATTACAACGTCGCATAAAAAAAAACGTACGATAATAGTCCAGTCAATTTGTAAAAAAATCAGAAAATGAGAAAAGCACCCAACTTGATACAAATGAACTTTGAGCTGTATAAAGAAAATGAGCATGGAACCCATTTATGAACATCCAAAATGGCCGCCGTACGTGATAAGTCATTACATGTAAGGGTAAAATAGCACAGAAATAGTTGTAATCAGTATTTAATCATTGTCTTGTCTCTGTAAAGCTATTATATTTGAAATATTTTCATTGTTTCTGTTTATCATAAGAATTCACGACTCTGGAAGTCAAATAAAGTAAAATATTGTAGAGTTATGACATTGCTGTCTTCTAAAGATGTTAAGACATCCCTTTTGAACATTTAATTATCTTTTTTTTTACAATGTTCATTTATCTAAAATTTATTTATAGTTCATTGCTTACATTTGGGACATGGACTGGGCAAGCAAAGGAAATTAATTAGCGTTTATCTATTATATCTTGTTGATAGTTGTGAAAGGTAAACAAAATAATGTGTGAACAAGGAAGATTTTAACATTTTTAGTATTTAAATTGTTATATAATAATGATATAATTTTCATCAAATGTAATGTTTTTATAATATGTGCAAGAAAAAACGAATAAAGGTATAAATGACATATGATGTACATCTTGTCAAAGTAACTGTAAGAGTTAATACATTGCAATAAAACTCATTCTAAACTGGTGCTTTTTCTTCATGAAACAAATGTGCCTAATTATTCTGTAGAAATGTTTTGTTTACAGACTCTGATTTCGACGCACCTTTGCTGAAGTAACGACTTTTAAGCACTATACATTGGTTCTCGATTGATTAACTGTCAATTTGACACCAAATTTCAAGACTGATCAAGCTGATAGTTGCTTGCCCGTTCATATTATATCCCAGCTCGTTATAATGCTAATCAGCACAAAAACACCCTGCTCAATGTATGATTAATGTTGTTCTGGCTCAAAAGTTGCAAGACTTGTCAACAAATAACAGTTGACAAATTTAAACAAAACTGGATCGAAAGGTTTGATATTCATCATTTTGGTCAACAGTGTTATATAGAAAGCCTTGACTGTCTTATGATTATAAAAATGAACGTTGTTGTGTCACTCTTTCTATATACAATGTGCACTCATGAATATATTATGTGGATGCATCCTTATATGAATTCAGCTGAACAATATATGATGTCAATGTGTCTTTATATGATGTCGACCAATCATGTCGACCAATCATTATACGATGTGCATTTATGAATATATTATGTGGTAGCATCATTATATATTGTCAACTTATCAATATATTATGACAATCTTTCATTATACGATGTGAATATATCATTATATGATGTACATGTATGAATATATTTTGTGGAAGCATCATTATGTGATGCCAGCTCATCAACTTGTTTTGTCAATCTTTCATTTTACGATGTGAATCGACCGCTGCTTTATATGAAGAGCAAACATCGTTATATCGTGTGCTTTTGTCATTATACTGATGGTGTAAATTTTATCGGGTTATATCTCACTATGCACCGTTCGTGGCGGAGACTGTCTATATATCAACAGTTGAAGTACGTGATAAAATATCAAGACTTGAGGGAATCCCGGGCGGTTCTAAACTGCTGACGAATTGTTAAGTTGACTCTATATAAAGATGATTCTACATAATATACTGTTGTTATGACTCTAGATAAGGATGGTTTCACATAATATACTGAAAAATGCACATCGTATATTGATTGATTGACACAATATAAGGAAACATTGACATCATATATTGTTGACTCTATATAAAGATGGTTCCACATAATATATTCATATCTTCACATCTTAAAATGGCAGACTATAAGGACAGATTAACATAATACGAGTATATAGTTATTTGACATTATATAAGGATGGTTCTACAAAAAATAATCAAAAATGCACATCGTATAACGATATATTGACATCATATAAAGACACATTGCCATCATATCTTGTTCAGTTGGCTATAGATCAGGATGGTTCCACATAATATATTCACGAGTGCACATTGCATAGGAAAGGTTGACTGAATATATTGCTATTTGGACATAACAACGTTTAGCTTTATAATTATCAGACAGTTAAGGCTTTCCATAGTGTAACTACCAAAATAGATATAAAAGCATGCTTGGTCTCTTTATGAAAAACTTGATCTTATATGTACAATGCATTTTTTTATGATATGTATAGTGATTACGAAGAATTCAATAGCAAAGATATTGCCAACGAGGGTATGGTTAAGAGTTATTATAGTTTTGAAGCAACAAACAGGAAAAACAAAATATATACCTTCTTTTGCAGTAAGAAAAAGCAACTTTCAGAAGGTAACGAGTAAATAGCCGGACACTTAGGCTGTAATATTCTGTTTTCCATATAACATAAGTCATTCCAGGTACAAGGTGGCAAACATGAGCCTACCTATCCTATATTATTTAGATTTTATCGGAATTACTACCGTTACAACTGAGTGTGAAAATGTCACCATATTTCATGCGCCATATAAGAATAATGTTGCTCAGCCTTATGATTAGCAGGATCTACCGCTGCTGCAATGATGGGTTCATTAAAGTGTCATAAAATGATAATGTTGCAAAATGATAAACTTTTCAAATGTTTTCGTTATTTATTAGATCAATACTCATGACTGGGCGACTGTAATGGGAAATTTCAAAATGGTATTTCTTTCTGTCTTTTAAATCATGTTTTGCCATAATATTCTTTTTAATTAAAATCATATTAATCGCTAACATTAACTTACAATTGATACCTAAATTACAACAGAATGTATGCACATTTTTATACTAATTTAAGATAATATGGGAGGCACCAACCCTCATGTATTATACGTGTAGCCCAATGTCATGAAATGTTATTTTAAAAAAAAATCGCTTTGTAATTGTAGGTCTAATGTATGCATGTGTCAAGGTTCAATAATGATATTTGAAAAAGAGTAAAGTAATTAAAAATTACTTTTTTACCGACCCTTTTCTTTTTGAAAGATTGATAAAAGTTATTGGCAAATCTAGTTATCATGTAAATCAAACCAATTTTGTGGGGAAAAAAATAATACTCCATGTATTCACTTTAAATATAGTTCTTTGTCAGTGAAGTATTGATCATCGATCTAGAGTGATTAATATTGAATGTCATGTTACCTGTTCTTTTTATGCTAAATCACTCGCTCCAAAAGTGGTATCGATTTCCTCATTTATATTTTATATGATATTCATTTTCAATATTTCAGATCGTATAGTGGATCAGGATTATCTGTACGTGTTAATTATGATTTTAATATAGACGCGCAAATGAAATGGTGAGGTCGAACTTTTTATCTTCTTTTACCTCTGTTCCTATTTAAGTGAATTTTTTAGAGAAAAAAATCTATTGTTTTTTTGTTTTTTTTCATCAAGAAAAATAAAATGAAAAGAATAAAATTACTGGGGAATGTTTTAAAACACTGATTAAATATACGCCATAAACCTGGATATTCAAAAAAAGTAGACAATAAACCAAATTTTGAGGTTTATTTTAAGACAAAAGTTATATGTAAGTTGATTACAAAACTTTATTGAATTATAAAACAATAATTGTTTATCATAATGTCAGATCATAAAAACAGATATTTAATTAAATTGAAAATGGTGATATTTATGAGTAGTGTTTCAAATCTGCTTAAATGTTTGCCGTTCATTTAATTTGGTGTTTTTTGTAAGTTTTTGGTAAATATAGCATTGTGGTATTTTTCGAACAACTATTGTATTGTTTACGGGAAGCCACGTTACCTTTGAACCGGAAGTTCTATTTATAGAAAGCTAATTTGAATAATTAGAAGTTTCGTTTTAGATAAGATACAATGACCGGTAAGAAGTCATCATTTCTGACATACATGCAGATGAAACCAAAACATTGTTTGGAGACCTAAACAAACAATTGAATTTTATTTCTTACTTTCTTAAAAATGTCCATGTCTCATCAATAAGATCAATAAAATATCAGATACATTTTGAAGGTCATGTTTGTCAACATCCGGTTACACTAAATTATTATTTCTAAGAACAAAATGTAAACAATATGACAAAGGCCTATCAAAGATTCTTTAAATGATGTGGTCACTGCACAAGACATGTAGACTATATCATTTATTACTGTTAACCACTTGGAACTAGTCTCTATCTGAACCAACATGCATCCGAATGTGAAACGTCCGAATGTCGTAAAGAATAATATTCATAATACCAAGAGGAAAGCATTGTGTGCATAGTCTGGTTAATGCCTTATAGATGAAATTGGGCTAGTACCTAGATGTAAAATTACATGTCCTAACCTGACATGAAATTAATCGCAAAAAGTTATCTTCAACCAAAAGAAATGTTTTTCTTTCCAGAAGAGTCCGATAAAAAAATACAAAATACAAATGTATACGGGACATACAATCTGTTTGACAATGGTTCAATTGTAGTATGTTATTGTGTTAATAAGTTAATAACTTAATACTCAAAACAAGGAAAGTGAAAAACAAAAGATACAACCGACAGGTATAATGGCGATGAAAAGTGTCAAACTTTAAACAACTCAGGAGATGTTTCCTGTCAAACAATTATAAACTGTTCTCCACACAAACAAATTAACAGTATGGGACAAATTATGCTTTTACATGTCTAACAATATATCATTGTTACCATAGAGGGGTTTCCATCAAGTTGATAAATATAATGCATCAATTGTAAGAGAGGCTCTTAAAGAACATCAATATGCTTGAGGCCACTTTAGATATGAAAAGTGAAATAGCCAAAGAAAGAAATTAAATTTCTGAAATGAAAATGAACTTAACATCAAGAAGAAGAAAAAACCTTAAAATAATTAAAACAAAACAGGATGAAAATGTTACAGATATAGTAATGGACACTGCAAGCAAATGTCAGTCAAAAACATCCAAGAAAACGGACGTCTCTGACTTTCAAAGGCTTTAAAAAATTTAAAAGTAAACAAGACTGTATGAATATGGATAAGAACATATCGTCATAAAATTATAGATATATTTTTTGAAATCTAATAAACGATATATGTTCTGTACAAGAATGTTTAAGCAAATGAAAATAGCAATTTCTGTTTTAGAATTGCAGGATTTTTATGAGAATCCAAAATAAAGATGAGCTGTTAATCTTAAACTGTTACCAATACTGCAAAATTGAAAGTTTTGCAGTTTTAACATGAATAATTCTGATCATTGATGGCCACCAAGCACCGGCTCAAATGAAATAGTATCATGTTTATGATATACTAGTAATACTAATATTTTGATAAACCAATAATCATTGCGTTTCTTATTGCTTAACAACTCAGTTTGTTTTCTAATCATCTATGTTTTAAAATTAGATATATAAAATATCATTTTCTGCATATTATAAATCAATGAGAGTAAACAACTATAATAAAATGTATAATCTTAAATATTACAGCTGCTTTTCAATAAGTAAACATGTATTGATCTTAATAATTGACATATAATCAACAATTGAAATGAAACAAATAGTTAAGTAATATTATTTGAATTCATACTTAATAAAATATTAAAACCACAACCTTTTTAGTTTACACAGAATTTATGAGTTTGATTGTCTGGGTAGTAAGTTGTAAGCTTACAGACACATTTTTTACCCTGTTATATAAAGGTCATACCTGACTTTCTTTACCTTATTCATCTTTTTCAGATTAAATTACCTTTCGTTGTGTATTACTACACATAACTTCATAACAGCATTTCATTAAAAAAAATTAGTGCTTGCATTTGACATTTTTCATAGAGTGTTTTGTAGTTAGAAATTTTGATTAGTTTGAAAACAGTGTATGATTTTAATCAAGTTTACAATGTATAAAATTGTATCACTTTTCGATGCACACAGTATGTTGTATTTGCATTGCATTTATCAATGTGTTGATTAGAAGTATACAATCTGTGTACATTATCATCATTGTCAGTACATGTGTATATGTGTATTTTCAGATCAAAGGAGAGGGGATGACAATAACATAAATGTTGTTGTAGTATTTGGCAACAATCAACGTTATCTTTGTATGAGCTTGTTGGTTTTTAGTAGTTTTTATCATTATCATTACTCTTGTTTTTTTTCCTTTCTTTTGCATTTTATATGATTTATTTGTGCAATAGTATCAAAAGTATTCAACATATAAATTGATATTCTTTCATTGTTTCATGGTTTTTTATTCTATTTTGGTGAATATTTAATTTTCAAGTCAATGACATTCAGCCAAGTATAAGTTCATTTTTGCCTCAAATATAAGTAGATTTAGACTTACTGAGAGTATTTCTGTAGAAATATAAATCGTTACCTTTTTTAACGATAGACTTGAGTACACGTTGACATGATTCAATCTTTCTTTAATCAATTATTCTAGATGGATTCCATCGGACTGAAACAAACAGCTGGTATAACATAGTAGTTTCTCTTCATCCACCGAATGGACGCAGCGAACTAGTTGTCTCGGGTACCTTTTATTTTATTATAGAATATACTTAAAATGCAAGATATCTACTGTTGAGGATATGACTTACTTATTTCTTCAGATACTTACAATATCATTTTTAATGTTCATGATATTTTTATCTATTTTGCCAATGCCAATGTTATTAAAGGAATATGTATATTACTGTACATAATTGCTATTTAAAAAATCAGGAAAGCTGCAAGAGATTGTTTCATGAAAATACACCACTTTTCGTGGCATAAGCGCCAACGTTAGTCAACACTGAATGTTTAAATACATAGAATATTACTTTCAATTCACTAGTTATTGAAGCAAACTTTTCCAAATATTAAGATTTAGAAATTTCTACAATTCCGTTTTTAGTTTTAAATAAAACCATTACAATTTACTTTTTCATTATTTTTTCATTACATTTTGGTTTAGATTTTCTGAAAGATTAAGAAACTATAATATTCAATCATTGACTTAGAAGTTATTTGAATTGTGAATATGTATTCAAAGCCTGGATAGGAATAGACATAAACACTGCATATTCTATATGGTGTTCCAAATGCAAAAAAAAACAAATACTTTTATTCCAGTATCACATTCTAATTATTTAGAAATTAGAACAGAAATCATGAAACGACCCAAGGGTTCTCATGTACATTTTAAAAACATAATATGTGTTTTCCCTACAGTAATTCTAAAGATCAAAATTATTTTGGCAATGGCTTCCAAAATCTATAACTCGTCTCGAAGAAATCAAATTTTAAACAGGAAAACTAGTCTTTCCTAGGAAAATTTTTAAAATCACTGGAATGATATTTTTCAGAATATGAAAATTGATCTTTATCAATTTTTTCTGTTACTAAAAAACAGTCTAAAGTTGGTGTTCCTTTTAGGTGGGACAAACGTTTATTTCAAAAATGTTAAACACTAAGTAATAAAATTGAAAATTGTTTTGATTTTGTACTTTCAGGGCAAAGACATTGGGCAGGTGAGTGCATAATTGTTATGACAGAGTAAGACAACAATCAATAGTAACTTTGTATCTGATTTATGGTCAACTATTCTTTTTTCTGCTTTAATTTTACTTGCTTTTACTTTTATTTTTATATTTTTTAAATTGTAAATATAACAAGAATTGTCGTGTAAAATAGATAAATGAACTTATCCCAATAAAAAGGAAGAAAACAGATAAATAAATAAATAAATAAGGTTTGAGGTTTAACTAAAAGCAAAGCTATGATTGCTATAAAAATATTTTTTCAAGAATAAATATATACCAACAAAACTTTTGTGCATTCTTATTTCAAGTGATAAATAAAAAAATGACCAGGCATAACCATTGATGTATTATCCGGACTTATTGGTCAATTTTTGAATTGTCTTCTACTTCCATGATGTTGTCTGTGCATTTGCCATGTCTTCCTAATGTGCCCCGAATTATTTCCAGCTATTTGAAAAACTCTACAACGCTACAGGAATGACGGAATATAACACGAACACCTTTGTACTCTTGTATATTTGTACCACGATCACCAATTTACGACATTGTACCATAATAGTCTTAATGTGGCATTGACCTTTAAGTTACAAACCTGTTCTAACTTATCACATAATGTTTGAAAGCATCACATATTTAATCAAACTAAGTTATAATTAAATTGTCAATTAATGATTTGACAGGTGTGTAAATATCATATCTGTCATATCATATTTTTTAGCACATCTGAGCTACTAACTTGTTCGTTTACAATCTAGCGGTCACATTTTTTCTTTAATCATCATCAAACTTTGTCAGGATGATTGTCTAGGTAATAGCTCGGATGAGTTCGAACATGGGTCATCTTGGATGAAAAACTAGGTCACGGGAGCTAAAAACAGAAAAAACCTTGTTACACTCTTGTGGTCACATTTTTGCCTCAATCATCATCAAACTTAGTAAGGATGCTTGTCTAGGTAATAACTCGGATTATTGTGAACATGGGTCATCTTGAAAGAAAAACTAGGTCACAGAAGCTATAAATAGAAAAACCATGTTAACACTCTAGTGATCATACTTTTATTCATTCATCATCAAACTTGGTCAGGATGCTTGTCTAGGTAATTGCTCGGATAAGTTCGAACATGGGTTATCTCGAATGCAAAACTAGGTCACAGGAGCTAAAAATAGAATGACCTTGTTAACACTCTAGTGGTCACATTTTGGACCCAATTGTCATCAAACTTATTCAGGATGCTCGTCTAGGTAGAAAATTCTTGTTAACGCTCTCGTGGCTACATTTTTAATCCAAATATCGTGGAAATAGGTCTGAAAGTTTGTTTTGATAATTCGAATATGGGTCACCTGGGGTCAGAAACTAGGTCACACCGCCCAAATATGGAAAACCTTGTTAACCACTAGTGGTCACATTTTTGACTCAATTATCATCAAACTTGGTCAGGATGCTTGTCTAGGAAATTGTTCAAATGAGTATGAACATGGGTCATCTCGGATGAAAAGCTAGGTCACAGGAACTAAAAATAGAAAAATGTTGTTAACACTCTAGTGGCTATTATTTTTATCCAAATATCATTGATATTGATTTGAAAGTTTGTTTTGATGACTTCTAAGTCAAGTTAGAATATGGGTCATCTGGGGTCACACCGCTCATATATGGGAAAACCTTGTTAACACTCTAGTGGTCACATTTTTTTTTATTCAGTTGCCATCAAACTTGGTCGGGATGCTTGTCTAGGTAATTGCTCAGATAGCTTTGAGCATGGGTCATCTCGGATGAAAAACTAGGTCACAGGAGCTAAAAATAGAAAAATCTTGTTAACGCTTTAGTGGCTACTGTTTTTTTATCCAAATATCCTGGAAATTGGTCTGAAACTTTGTATTGACGATTTCTAGGTGAATATCGAATAAAGGTCACCTTGGGTCAAAAACTAGGCCACACTGCTCAAGTATGGATAATCCTTGTTAACACTTTAGTGGTCACATTTTTGAATCACCTGTCATGAAACTTGTTCAGAATGCTTGTCTAGGTAATTGTTTGGATGAGTTGAGGTCGATGGGTCAGGTGAGCGATCTAGGGCCATCTTGGCCCTCTTGTTACAAATAAATTTGACCTTGATATTTGGGCTGCTGATCACTACATGTCATCATTAACAGCATATGTATGCCAAACTATTTCAAATATATCTATAAGTAACAAAGTGTTGTACAAAAAAGACAATCTTTTCATTGACATATATGTTTAACATTGACCTTTGAGTCTGAGACCTGACATTCATGCGCGACACATTTACATCATGTCATATATATTAATGCCAAGTCATTTCAGCTATGCTATTTTAATTTCAATCATAAATGGCAAATTGTTGACTTGATACGAACATCAAGGCACTTTTATGAAAGATTTATTTTGAAGTCAAAGAGTAACAATGACATTTGAGATGCAGGCTTGGGTTTGTGCAGGACACATCGTGTAAGCACTTACGCAAACTGTTTAAAAATACATTAATAAATGACAAAGTTATGGACCAGTGTTAAAGGAACGAGAATGGATGAAATAAGGACAACGGACGGAAGGACTTACGGATTCGGCAAAATCTATATGCCATCGCAAAAGTTTTGGGCATTAAATTATCATTTATATACGACTGGATTTGACAGTATTTAAAGCATGAATTATACTTTTGAAGCAAATTCAAACTTCATTTTAGAACAACGCTTATGTAATATGTTTGAAATTACTTTAACCTTTGTTTTTACAGCTATTGTAGATGGCATCCCTATGACCGATGGATATCGATGGTATTACAACATGGTTTCTGTACATCCAAGAAATTAGGTCAATAAACCAGTCGTTTCGGGTATGTGTGATTGAATTTATTTGAGATATTTCATATAATGTGGGTATATGTCACCTTTTGAAAGGGATTTTACTATTTATTCAATGTTATGAAATAATTATCCTGCTCCACAATCAAATGAAAAAGCATGGTGATTTTGAAGATCTTAATGCTTTTTGTGTATGCAAATAATGTTTAAATAACTAATCTCTCATTAATGAAATTTCAAGTTGGTACTAAAACACCATGTACTGACAATCATCATAACATTATCTGTTTAAAATTCCATTTTCTATTTGCAATTCATTTTTGAGTGTTTTAAAATTTTCAAAACTTGTCTTTCATCAAATCCTTTATGATCAAATTTGACTATGCTTTCATCACTGTATTGGTTTTATTAGGGTTTCTGTTTTACCTTATTTTGTTGTAATACAACAAATCTGTATCTATGTTGAAAACTTTTGTCCCAAATACCGGTTAAATATAAACATATCTTTATTTTTCCTCCTTACTATCTGTGTAAAGTTAATGGCATATCTAGTGATTATATTTTAGAATTATAAACGTCTTTACAAAACTGTCTTATTAACCATACTCTAGACTAATTTGATTTCTTTTTTTCTCCTGCTATTGTAAATTTTATACTCATGTCATTACATTTAATTTTAATATATGTTATAATGAGAAAAAACTAAATATATTCTTATAAGAATTGTTTTTGGCTACTTTACTTCAATCATTCATTATTTTCATAGTAAATGCCATGATAATATCTAGTTAATAATCACTTTGAGTCAATCCGCAAAATCAAATTATAATACGAATAAGGTTTTCAGAAAAATGACTAGTATCGATGTAAAATTATTCTTATCTCCAATTCTATGTCAATTATTTAAAGGCAAATTATGCTGGCTATAGGGCACATATTGTATAGATATATATAGCTCAGTACATCACAGATTATAAACAAGTTAAAACAAAACCATGGTACATGATTGCATAATACAAGATGCTACATGCAAGAGGTAATAAACCATGTTATGCACATCAATACAAAGGTTAATACAAAACGCCCTTAATTTACATTGTGGTCCTCAAATTTAAGGTACAACACTGAAAGGCATATCAAGTTGCTTCACAGCTGATGGTATCACATATTGGCATATATCTTAGATCAAATTCTCACAAGACATGATTTTGCAGGATATAATCTATATGATAGAAAATTATAAATTGGTTACCTAGGAGAGTAATGTTCTGAATAACAGTCAGAACGAATCAAAAAGTAATGTGCATCTGTTATACTTTGATAAAATGTGAATATAACGCTTAATGAGGTCTGAATCCTGTATGTTGTAATAAAGGTTGTTACCACACTTAAGTAAAATTTTATATATGTATATAATAATGCTTTTAAGACAATTTTCAAACATCGAAGAATATGTAAAATATGTACTGCAAATATTTGTCCACATTATATGTAATCATTAAAATATATACATTCATTTCTTATTGAAAAATTTGACTTAGACTTTATAGAAAATAAAGTTCTAATTACCCCCTTTATTAACATGATATGTCAATTCGGTAATATATTTACAAATAATGCTTTTTGGAACTTACAGTTATGATAAATCTTCATTTGAGCGTTATATTACTGATATTCAATCATAGAAAAATGAGTCACAGGATCTTAAAGCGTCAGAAATATATAAAAAAAGCAATTTCTGTAGAAAGGATAAGCATGTATTTTATAATGTTTGCTTTCAAACATTTTAAAATTCTTTTTACCTTGTCGAAAAGATGCGAATGTTTTAAAGACATTAATTAATCTTTGAAATGTGTATTTGTTTATGAATGTGTATGATTCATACACATTCATAAACAAATACACATTTCAAAGATTAATTAATGTCTTTAAAACATTCGCAACTTTTCGACAAGCTTAAAAGAATTTTAAAATTTGACATGTATAGTGTAATTTCTAGGTTCCTTTTAAGTCTCCGTTTCACGTGAATATCATGTTCTGTGGTATATTTTGTTTTTCTGACTTTTCTCTTGTAATTCGCTTTAAATGCTTTTCACATGTTTCATGCATTCCACAATTTAAGACGGAAAATATTTGTATAAAAGCCACGCACGTAGGCGTTAATTCAGAATTCCTCAAAATAATAAATAAAGCTGATCAGTGTTTAAGGAATAAAAGGAAGAATTTAATTCAAAATGTTTTTTTTTAATTTTTACTTCATAGTTGTTTAAAAGTTATAATTCAAATTTAACATTTGGGGAGTTCTACCTTTCAATGTTGTAAAAGAAAATCATGGCACGCCTTGATATATATTGTCAGATATGAAATAGTTTCTCACTAAGGTAGTAAATTGTAAACAAAGTGATATTTTGACTTCTGTACAAAATACTAAATTACCATAACTGTACTAATTGCTAAAATGGACGGGAGGCAAAAGATTACTTAAATATATGGTTAGTGAGAACATTGTGGAAACTTTTGAAAAATGAAAATATCATGTTTTAGGCATAAAGGGCCCTTAAATAGTTACTAGTAATATTGTTTTAGTAAAACCAATAAAACTACTACTGGGCAAATATGAAGCTTTTGACATTTTCTTTAAACACTTTAACATTGTTAGATCATGATTTAGGTGTTGCAGATCATTGCACAGTACGCAAAGATTTCTTACCCAGCTTTATCACTTTAGAGACAATAAACAGCCTCAGTTGCCATAAGTCAACAGGCAACCGTAGTATTAAAATGTGAAATGTGTCAGTCACCTAGCTTATCAAAATGTGTTTCTTTATCATATAATGTTCATAAATATATTTAATAACATCTTTTCTTGCTTTTTATAACACACCATTTTTTAACGGTAATAATTTAAATGTACCATTCTTTATAAAAAATTGAAATACATGTTCATGTTATATTTACAGTTTAAAATCATAATTTGAGCTTTGCTTTAAATTTGATTTTTTTCTCACTTTTTTGTAAATAAACAATCTGCTTATTTTTCCAACATTGTCATTACAAATGCTTCTTTTTATGCCATGTCGACATTGATTGTCCTAATGTTTCAAGAAATGACGTTGAAGTAAACATATCTCCTTATATCTGTATATTTTAGGAAACAAGCTAGTGATACCAGCAGTATGCAATACATTGCACAAGACTCAACGGAAGATGAAATGTAATGGTGTGGAAATCATTATGGCGATTCACTACTGTGATTTGTATGACAGATTGATAAAAATGAAGTGAAGAGAACGCTTTAGAATATCGTTCATACTGATGTTATGTTATTGAAAATATAGATTTCTTATCACACACAAGTATTCTCAACTTTCATTTATCCATTCAATGAATGCTTATATTCTAAGGTCATTCCTGTACCTATTTTTCACTTTTCAAGCAAATCAATAAAAAGTAAAAAAAATGCTTGTCTGTTTTTTTCAAAAAGAATATAATTACATATGAATATATATAAATATACATTAAGCTAATTCCGGTCTTTCCAAGTCAAGTATAATGCCTGTAGACCACAGCTGCTCCTCGTATGACTATATTTTCGAGCCAAATAGTCACAGACAAAGGTTCACAGCTTTTATTTATTATTTGATGGCAGATCACATTATATGACTTTCATACTGTCACTGTTTTATATCTTTTCTATCTATAAGGCATATGTGAATCTCTTTGGTTGCTTTGATGATATATTAACATAGGCTTTAAACGTTTGCTTAATTTTAAATTTGATATTGTGTTTTAATATTAACAACTGCTCATAGGAGAGTTACGAAATTTACTTCAATGTATAAATTAACAAAAATCGTTTAAAATTTGTGTGAGTGTTCAAATGTATTTAGACATTGTCATATTTAATGGCCCGCGATAGGAAAACAATGCAAACGTTGTAAGGTCTTATTGTGTGATACTTAAGTTCTAAAACCGTTAAGATGATTTGATAGTGTTGCCTTTTAATCGAGCACACTATACACAGCACATAATTAATACATTTTGAATATTTGTAAAAGACATGCACTTAAAATATTATAAAAAGTTTTATTATCTGTGTGTGTTTAGACACAAAAATGACTGCAATCGAGGAATATGTCTGAATCAGGAGAAAATCAACCTGAAATTGGAACAAGGGGAATAACTACTTCTAAAGAAAGATATCATATATTTATCGAATGATTCCCTGTTTAGATTCAATTTGCAACTAGGCATCTCATGTGAATGTAAAAATGCTTCGCATTCATGGGCAGCAGGTGTGTGGGTGGCCAATAACGGATCACTAGCGTTTATGAACGAACGATTTTTAGATTCATATATAAATGTATGTTGATAAGAAGTATTTTTCCCCTTTAACTGTATACTTCTTCTGAATTTATTTTTGAATGCATCGTGGTGTATTTACCGTTTCCAAACTTCTTGTAAACATGCCAATAGCGGATCAAATCGGCCATTATCGGGTCACGTGATATACGAACGGGGGTCAAAACATTAATTATCTCTAAAATTCTTCCTAACCCAGGAAAATATTACACAACTATGCGTTACCGCTGATTATTAAAGTGAAAAGGGTATCAATAAGTAAATAATCTGTCGTATAACGGAGGAAGAACTCACGGATGTTACATACTTTTAATATACAAATACAAACACACAAGTGAACGAGTGGAATACCAAAGCTGAACTCCCTCTCTGACATTTGAGAATAGTATATATAATATCAACCTGTCCTAAGGACATTTTATAATGTATATAAATACACACGTTTTAGAGCTACATATATTAATCATCCTGACATAAGGTCAGTCCGTATGCATCCTGAACTATAATACTCATAAATCATGTCATGTTCCATAGTGCACATTATGAAATAAAAACCTTAATATATGTATATACATGTTGACTTGTCATTCTTTTTGAATATAGCGTGTATGACTCATTAGCCTGTGCAACCAGCTATACGACAATTCCTCCATTACTTATAAAAAAAAATATTTAAAAAAAAAAGTATTGAACAAGTTATTATTTAATATCAAACATTTCAAACTCGTTCTAACAAATTATAAAAATCTAAAATCTAAAATCAACTTGACATCTGTTTTACCCCTAAGGTAAGGATGTTTTACATCAACCTTTTGTTACTTTATTCTCAAAGAAAAATCGCCGAAGGTAATATCCGGTCAGAGATGTCCGGTCAGAGATGTTATCTAATGACTTTTTATTAGTTTATTTTTAAAAGAAAAAATCACCTTAAGTCATATAATCTCTGATTGGTCAATTGTATATAGACTTATCCCAATTTAAACTTTATTTAATGATTGTGCGTTGACAGTTGAAACATGTATGTATACACATGTTATTCTAATATGAAATAAAGTAAATAATCAATTTGAAACTCATGATTAAGTGCTGTCATTTACTTTGAAATGCATTTTAATTAACCGATCTATTTATAAACATATAGCGAATAACGATCATTTTAAGCAATAATAAAAAATCAAAGATATATTTCTAATAAAAGCAAGTTGAAAATTGATATAAATGAATACAACCACCAAAATATAAAGATATATGGTTAAATAATGTAATTTTCTGTTTTGTTTTATATCGTTTTCTTGTAACATATATATATTTTTTTCTGTAATAACTATTTACAATGCCTGAGGTCAATTTACCGAAAATTAGTATAGCATATAGCGTCCACGACTGTTACAGCAAATTAGATATACACTGAAATAACATTTTCATGTTATGCTTTGAGTTTTTATTATTACCAGATGATTTTGTATTAACTTTACCAGAAACTTTATATCGAGGTTTTACAATACTTTTCTTTTTAGTAGATACAGAGTTTATAAACATTTCATTATCCGAATCATTATCATCAGCCATTGAATCTGACTGAATAGCATTATATGCTGCTTGTGACTGAGGATTGCTATTTACTTGTATGGAATTTGAGTCTGATAATTCTGAATCAGTCTGCGATTGCATTTCTTCTGAATGTGCATTACTTTGAGTATTGTCATTATTTGAAATTTGTTGTTGTTGTCGAAGATGTTTCTGTAATTCAGCTAATGGAATATCATCTTCACTATCAGAATTTGACCTTTCTTTTAACATTCTTAGCAACTTGGGGTAATACTGATTCTGGTATTTCTGAAGCATCATCAGTATCGCTATTTTCAGGTGTAACTACAAATGTGGCATTTCTTTTTGGTCTGCCTGTATTATCTGTTTTTTTGGGTTTTGCCCACCCATTAATTTTTTGCGAGCCAAATTTTTGTTTTTGCTTTGGACTTTAATTTGTTAAATTTGTCAAACTGATTTTTTTATTATATAATTAAAATTTGGTAAACCTTTTCCCCTTTAATTCTAAAAAGGGGGCCTCCAATTAAAACAAATTTAGTTTGCTTCTTTTACAAAAATTCTTAAAAAATAGGGGATCGCCAAATTTAAAAAATTTTTGATATCTTTGGGGTCTTTCTGCATAGCTAACTTGTTCTCGTTTTGCTTTTTAAGGGGGCTTAAAAAAACAAAAATTAAAAAATATTATGTTTGTTCTTGTAATAAAATTTTGTAAAAATAATTCTTCGCCATAAATAGCCCCTGCCTTGGGTTGTAGCAAAAGGTCCACCGGGAGAGATTGGGAGAATCAACGGTTATTTAACAAATAAAAATGGATTAATCTAGCTTTTAAAAAGCCTGAGACATTGAATTTCTAAAGTTTCGGCTAAAGTGTCCATGTTAAGATGAAAGTATCCTTTGTTTGGATTTCCCTGGATTTTTTAGCTTAAAAGTATCATGTATGACATGGTGAGAACGTTCAAAAATTTTTCATCGCACAGTTCCCGGCAGACAATGAGTAAGGTAGTTGTACCACAACCCGTGATCAATTCCTTAACTCTTTAAGTGTTTCTTTTGAAAGCAATTACTTGTGAAATTCTGATCCATTGTCAGTGAACAAAAATTTGTAATGGACATCGCGTATCAATAGGGTAAAATTTCTTCTAAAAGAAAAAAAATTATAATTGTATCCAGTACTTTTGTTCCAGCAGTAAGGAAAACACCTCGGGATAAACCACTGTAAAAGGTCAAATTAAAACAAAAAAAATGTAGCGGTTACCACTCATTGTTTTCTCATAGGGCCCAATAACGTCGATACTCATGGTCTGGAATGAATACATTGGTACTCTTGTTTCGCCCATAGGTGCTTTTATTTTTGTAAGATTACGTGACTGACAATCAACACATTTAGAAACATATTCATACAATTCTTTGAACATATTTGGCCAAAAATATTTTTGTTTTATTGTTGTAAATAACCTTGTGTTCCTGGGTGACCATTATTTAAATGATATTGAGTAATGACAAGGTGTTTTAAGTGTTGCGGAACAAACAATCTAAGATTAGGATTATCATCTACATTAGACAGATAATAAAGAACTTTGGTCAATTTCTAAATATTTGCTCTGCACTGATTTAGTTGGCTGTCCGTGACGTAGTAACATTTTCAGTTCAAGAATAGTTTGATCTTTATCTTGCTCTGAGGCCATATTTAATTTTTCGAATTGTTTAATATCTTCTACAATTGGCTCTTGAAATTGGTATTCTTTGTTTGCTATTTCTTTGGCATTAAAGTGCGTAGAATCAAAAGCATTTACTTCATAGCTTTCATCAGTTTTCACAGCATGTGCATTATCATTATTTGAATTATTACTTGAATTTGAGACTGTTATTTCGAAGGCATTGTCATTTATATCAGGCTCATAAAGTTCAATATCGGACTTGTTAGCATTTTATCATCAGCTGGAGGTCTAGAAAAGAAATCGGCAATTAAATTTAATTTTCCGGGCAAATATTCAATTTTACAGTTATAGGCAGAAATATTTAAAGCCCAAAGCTGAATTATTTTGTTTTGCATAGGTGCTTCTAGAAGATATTTTAAAGGTTTATGGTCTGTAAATATAGTAAACTCTGCATTATGTAAATAAACATCTAATTTTTGTAACGCATAATGAATACTGAATGCTTCTTTTTCTATGGTACTGTACTTTCTTTGAGATTCACTTAATTTATGAGATAAGAAGTATATAGGTTTTTCAATACCAGATTTGTCACATTTCTGACTTAAACATGCTCCGACCACTAAATCTGAGGAGTCCGTGTATAGAATATAAGGCTTATTTGGTCTGGGAATGCTAAAAAGTGGAATACGTGTTAACATTTTCTTTAATTGTTTCAAAACTTTCTTGACATTCTTTTGTCCATTTAAACAAAACACGTTTTCTTGTAAGATTGATTAGAGGTTCAACAATTTTAGAATATTTAGGGCAAAATCTTCTATAAAAACCAGCAGCACCAAGTAAAGATCTGACATCTTTAACACATTTTGGTACCGGAAAGTGACCTAATAGCTTTTACTTTTTCTGGGTCTGGTTTTATACCTTCATGATCAATTATAAAACCAAGGTACTTTGTTTGTTGCTGAATAAAACTGCACTTTTTCAGTTTAAGTTTTAATTTATGCTCTTTAAGCTTTGAAAATACTGTCTGTATATGTGATAAATGTTCATTTAATGACTTCGAAAATATTAGAATGTCGTCAAGATAACTGACAGCAAATGCCTCTAAACCTTGTAAGACATGTGACATGAGTTCTTGGAAAACTCCAGGGGCAGAAACTAGGCCAAATGGTGTTACGTTGAACTCGAACAAGCCTCGGAATGTCGTAAAAGCCGTTTTTTCCTTGTCTGATTCATGCACGGGTATTTGCCAAAACCCTGATCGCATGTCTAGTGTTGTAAAATATTTTGAAGACCCTAGTAATGTTAAAATATCATCAATTAATGGGAGAGGATATGATGTAGGCTTTGTAATTTTATTCAATTGTCTAAAAATCAACACAAAACCGTTTACTGCCGTCACGTTTCCCGACAATAACAACAGGAAATGAATAAGGGCTATGACTTCTTCTTATAATATTAGCATCTAACATCTCATCGATTGCGTCACTCATAAATTTTCTATTGTTTAAAGGTGTGCGATATGGGCGTAACTTGATTGGAGGATGATTACCTGTTGGTATTTTCATGGTTACAGTATCTGTCTGTGATAATTCAGAATCTTTATTTGCGAAAATATTTCTATTTTTCCTTAATAAGTCCTTAACAATATTAAAATGCTCTGGAGGTGTATGAATATCATGTTCGAAATCGTTGTTAAGAGGGGAAGTTGTTTGAAGAGCCTCTGTGACCGAGTTAATGCTCTCAACTTCTGAAACTTTAGCAACTACTGAATCTCGTTTTAATCTTATAGTTTTATGCGTATTGTTGACAATCATAATAGGAAATCTTCTATCAGCCGAAAGTTTCATAACAGAATTTGTTATCATAAGACCTGGTTCAGAAGCAATCATTCCAGTTTCTATACTTTTTAATTCATATAATTTATCATTTTCCAAGCCTGGATTTTGTTTTAACTTAGCAGTGCACACATTAACTGTTTGAGGTTTCAGAATAACATCCTGTTTTAATCTAACAATTGATGCAATATGAATATCTTCTTCGAGGGGTACATATGTAT